CATACTCTTAGTTGTCACATTCTGCTTGAATCTGAAGGTAGCTAGACATACAAGAACATGTTACTAAGATAGAAGGTGTCAAAGGTGGGATATATCTTATTGGTTTTCTAACTTATTAATTCTGAGGCCCAGGGGGATACTGCATACCCTGGCTTCCCCGTGATGGTTATCAATATTGGTTATGCAATTTTAAAGCTTATAATGCTATCAAAATACTAAAATATCGCATGATCTCAGCAATATCATAATGTTCAATAACTGAATAACCTGAAAATATTTTCATTCAGAATCGCTGGAATACATGAGAAACAGAGAGGATAACTTTTAATTTAATAATTTATCTTCCAGTAATTCATTCCTATCAAACGCACATGCAGTCTCGAATAGCCAAGGTGAATATTCTCTCGCATCTTGTTCCTCTCTGATGTAAACTTTACGCAAACAATGTCTCAGCTCTTGCTCTTGACGTCCTAGCTTACTTTTTTAAATATTTTGTTGTGCACACAATTACAACTCTGCCGTCTTCTGATGAACTGGATTGGAAGACAACTGAAAAACACCAAAACAATTAAAATAATTAATATTTTACGGAGGAACTAGATCGTAAACGATCAGCATTATATTAAAATTACGTTAATCGTTAAACTAGCAATTAGAAAAAACTTCTCTTATTATGACAGGCTTATGGTGAATTATTTTTATTTTTATTTCATCTATTATAAAAAATACAGTCACACTCAAGGTATGTCTGAGACTGCGGAAGTATATTCTGTGTCAGGGATCTGAGGATAGAATATGCCTCCAGCCTCAGACGTGATAGCTGGTCTGAGAATTGGGTGCTTAGGGCTCTTGAAACATGACTCAGTGTCAAACAGAGGTGTATTCGGATGTGGTTAGTTGAAATTGCATAAATCTTATTCAGATCTGGAAAGCAGATTAATCTTTCACAATAAGACCTATAATTTGTACTCACATAACTCAAATTATCATACGAAAACGACTCATATACTTATAGAATATAGGACGTCGAAACATAATGTTAATAACAAATTAAAGTTTTAAGGGAAATCCTCTTGATCAGATTTACAAACCTTATACCTACGGGTATATTGCCACAGGGATCTTATAGGTGGCCCAAAATATAGGTCATGTTACGAGGTATACTGTTCTAACCAAGATAAGCCGATTTACCTTCCTAGGGAATCTGTTACTTGCTAGGTTGGAGTAACAGAACATGTAACTATGTTCTCTGATAAAAATTTTGGAACCTACATGAGGTATTTTGGTATAGTTGGTCAAGACAGCGAAAGATTTTTTAAACGTGTTTCATTTTCTAGAGGGGTAAATATGGCGAAAAATTGTCATGACAAAATCTGTCCAACAAATGCCAATTAAGACTTACTGGTATGAGTATAAGTATTAATTTATAAGCTATCTTTTTCATCGGGACATCTGCAAATGAAATTGGAAAAAAGTTATGGCACCACAATTTTACGGGCCCCCAGAATATAGGTCTTAACGCCCCAGAATCATAGGTTGGTCAAAAAACATGAACTTCCACATATCCATGCTTTGGGATGCTTCAACTTGTAGGCTACTAGTCTACTCGTGAAACACCAACATATCCAAGTTTTATAAATATTGGATAAAAAATGGCCAGAAGTTATGGGATATAAAAACAAAAACCCATATGGCCCATATTTGGGCCATACGCACCATAATTTGATCGATTTTGGACCATAACTTGGTCAATTATTCAATATTTTTTGAATGAAACCATTTTTTATGGATGGTAAGCTTATATTAACTCATTCTCTATGGAATTTATCAGCTCGGCTAAATCTCTACGCTAACTGTGGATTCTGTGTTCAAATAATCGCAAAAAAAGAACAAAATCGGCCGCCATATCTCAATAAACTGACTTCGCTCAAACAACGAATAGAGACTCATCTAGGGTTTCAATATTTTTCACATGGGAAAATTTTCATATCATAGCGTTGATTGTCTCATGACCTTAAGCGTTTTGGGACAGAATTTTGTGTTAGTGCCTTTTAAAAAATTCGGCGGCCATAAATGGCTAGATTTACGAGTCATTTGAGGTGCAACATTGTATTGATACATATAAAACAGCCCCCCCCTCAATCATATTTAGGGACAGACTCCTTCAATTCTTATTTAAGTATTTAGTTAAGATCCCTACTATGATGAGTGACTGAAAACTTTTTACAAGTAAAATTAAAAAGATTTTATCAATTACGGGTAATATGGCCCCCATGAATATAGGTTTTTAAAAAAAATATAGCGACCAAGATTCTGCATTTTTCTCTGTCACCTGGAGTAATTAAGGAAGGTGGGGTAGTGATGAGAAACAGTGTAAAGGAAATATGCTGAAGAGATGCATGTTCATCACAAAGTGTTTGGAAGGTTGGAGTATTTGAGGGGGGAAACCGGATTTTTGCATATATAGATCTGGGGGCCGTTGTTTTTGATTTTTTGCTATTTAAGGTTATACTCTAAACCATTTAAGGCTGATTAGATTTATTGTTACAGATAAGAAACTGATAGGGACTATATTTATTGCACGAGAAGAAACTTGATAGGACTATTTATTATCAGATAAGAAAACTGATAGGAACTATATATATTGGCAGATTAGATATCGCTGATAGGACTATATTATTACAGATAAGAAGCTGATAGGACTATATTATTTACAGATAAGAAGCTGATAGGACTATATTATTACAGATAAGAAGCTGATAGGACTATATTATTACAGATAAGAAGCTGATAGGACTATATTATTGCGCAGCTTAAGAAACTTGGATAGGACTTTTTAGTATTACAAATAAGAAGCTGATAGGACTATATTATTGCAGATAAGAAACTGATAGGACTATATTATTGCAGATAAGAAACTGATAGGACTATATTATTACAAATTATAAGAAGCTGATAGGACTATATTATTACAAATAAGAAGTTTGTTAGGACTATATTATTTACACGATTAAAGGAAGTGTTAGGGTACTAATATTATAACAGATAAGAAGTGATAGAACTTTATTATTACAAATAAGAAGTTGATAGGACTATATTATTACAAATAAGAAGCTGATAGGACTATATTATTGCAGATAAGAAACTGATAGGACTATATTTTGTACAGATAAGAAAACTGAGTAGATAGCGACTTATTATTTACAGAAATTTATAAGAAGCTGATAGGACTATATTATTACAAATAAGAAATTGATAGGACTATATTATTACAGATAAGAAGCTGATCAGATATATTATTGCGCATAAGAAGTGATAAGCGGACTAATTACTTCACAGGATAGAAGCTGATAAGGACTTTATTTATTGCAGATAAGAAGATGATTAGACCTATTATTATTGCAGATGAGGAGATGAATGGGACTTGCGCGACGTCTTCCTGACAGCGATAGTAGCAGCAGGAGTACAAGGAGTAAACTGTTTTTGGATGTGTATAACCGCTAAATACAGCTCCATATCCACATGGGACCCGTGCAGCTGGACGGTGTTTGTCCTTAACATATTCGCTACTGTAGCGCTCAATATGAACATTGTTTTAGCGGCCACGTACATTTACCGCGGCTTGTTGAGGGATCAGTTATTGATTATAGCAGGACAGTAAATTAGAGTGGTTTTTTAATGGTTGCTCGAGGAGAATCCACGGGAGTACTGAGATATAAAAGCGTCTTTTAATGGCTGCGATTCGCTTTTGGAGGATTAATTTGTGCAATACCCAGAGTAAGTGTAAAGTAACACTCAGTGGAATACGCCTGCTCCCTCGACTCCGCAGTTCTAAGCAGAGTGTATACCCACATGGTCGAAATATCGCATTCTTTTCTTGCAATATTGATGGACGCCTGCTCCTTCGCACGTGCACACAGCTCAAGTATTTGTACTCGAAAGAACCCGAATATTCAAGTAAGTCCTCGTGTAACTAATAGTAAATAAGTTATTGAGGAAGGTAAGTTATGTGAATATAATTTGAGATACTATATGAGCCAGTTATCTTCTTAGCCAAATGTTATTTCTTGCATTTACATCACTGATTTTAACTTCAAGGGGTTTTAATTAGAATCAATAAGGTAAAGAGGCACTGTAGCATAAACATTTTAAAATATGTTGATCACTTATAATCGCTATACAATTTGAACGAAATAAATGGGGCTTATAAATTTGATTTGATTCACAGATTACAATATTATTCCATTTATCTATCGATGGCAGACGTGATTTTATAGTTGTTAACTTACGTTTTCGTTTATTAGGCTTAGAATCATGTATTGTGTCAATGAGATTAATTTGTCTGTGCTTTTTGAATGACGATTTGATATTAAGTTTACCTTACCATCTGGTGTTTTGGGGAATTGTTATCAATGTCCTGTAAGATGTTTTAATGGTGCACCAAATATATTCGCATATTGCGTTTGTGGTATAGTTAAGGAGGGATCTCGATGCTTATGTTGGATTCATGATTCTTAAAGTTCTGTAGATAATTGTTTCATTGCTTCTTGTAAACAATTGCAGAATTCTAACTTGTCTACCAAAATTGAATGATAATAAAAAAGTTTACCAACGGCAATAAAATTTAAATAGAACAAATATAAAGGTACGGTACTTGGTCTGGTGACCTAAATGGATGCTTGGCCTAACCCCCCCTCCCCTCACTCGTACCTTGGTTCCACTTTAGTAATGTCCTCAATAGCCGTGACATGCAGCTGGCCCACAATATTGTAACTGTGCAGGAAGTTGCCTCCAAACACAAGACTCTTTCTTGGCGTGTACTTAATTAAAAATTTTTTCTTTGAATCAATAACTAGATGAATTGTTGTAAATACTGAGATCAAACTATCAATCTACAGGCTATCGTCAAACATGTTGCAAGGCGTCATCTTCAGTGACATAAGCCCTCAAATTATTTGTTATATAGTAGTGTTGAAAGTATTAAAAATTGACCAGCTTACCCAGATCTAAATCTTGATGGAGAGAGATAGTGTCTAGAGGATCCGATGCATACGTTACTCCACTGTTATCAGTCGTTGTTATCTTAAAAAGTAAGTTTTATCACTCATAATTGAAATCTGACTTCCATGGCTCTTAAGGGAAAACTTACGCGACATTTGTAAACACTAAAGAAAATATAACATTATTAAATAGCTAATATAACAGAGTAGTCAATTAAAAATTGGAAATATTATCTGTGATGAGATCCTGAAACGTACCGTGAAAGTGTTATCGACAAGATTCACAAAGAATTCTCCACATTTGTCCTTCGTAGCACGATACATTTTACTCTTTGAATCTATGTTGGCCTTCCATTCTGATTGCTTAAACTGAAATGCATTCATTTGAATATCCTGAATGTGATTCTCAATCAACATTAAGATGAGAATCTACAAATATAGAATAAATTATCGATCAAAGCAGATTTATAAAAAGCGCTTACCGAGCAATCTGGACACGTCGGATCTGTGGGATATTTCAGGTGAAATATCAGGTGAGATATCAGGTGAGATATCAGGTGAGATATCAGGTGAGATATCAGGTGAGATATCAGGTGAGATATCAGGTGAGATATCAGGTGAGATATCAGGTGAGATATCAGGTGAGATATCAGGTGAGATATCAGGTGAGATATCAGGTGAGATATCAGGTGAGATATCAGGTGAGATATCAGGTGAGATATCAGGTGAGATATCAGGTGAGATATCAGGTGAGATATCAGGTGAGATATCAGGTGAGATATCAGGTGAGATATCAGGTGAGATATCAGGTGAGATATCAGGTGAGATATCAGGTGAGATATCAGGTGAGATATCAGGTGAGATATCAGGTGAGATATCAGGTGAGATATCAGGTGAGATATCAGGTGAGATATCAGGTGAGATATCAGGTGAGATATCAGGTGAGATATCAGGTGAGATATCAGGTGAGATATCAGGTGAGATATCAGGTGAGATATCAGGTGAGATATCAGGTGAGATATCAGGTGAGATATCAGGTGAGATATCAGGTGAGATATCAGGTGAGATATCAGGTGAGATATCAGGTGAGATATCAGGTGAGATATCAGGTGAGATATCAGGTGAGATATCAGGTGAGATATCAGGTGGTGATATCAGGTGAGATATCAGGTGAGATATCAGGTGAGATATCAGGTGAGATATCAGGTGAGATATCAGGTGAGATATCAGGTGAGATATCAGGTGAGATATCAGGTGAGATATCAGGTGAGATATCAGGTGAGATATCAGGTGGGATATCAGGTGAGATATCAGGTGGGATATCAGGTGAGATATCAGGTGGGATATCAGGTGAGATATCAGGTGAGATATCAGGTGAGATATCAGTTGAGATATCAGGTGAGATATCAGTTGAGATATCAGGTGAGATATCAGGTGAGATATCAGGTGAGATATCAGGTGAGATATCAGGTGAGATATCAGGTGGGATATCAGGTGAGATATCAGGTGGGATATCAGGTGAGATATCAGGTGGGATATCAGGTGAGATATCAGGTGAGATATCAGGTGAGATATCAGGTGAGATATCAGGTGAGATATCAGGTGAGATATCAGGTGAGATATCAGGTGAGATATCAGGTGAGATATCAGGTGAGATATCAGGTGAGATATCAGGTGAGATATACATTTATGGACGATGTGCATATATATATAACACTTAAACTGTTAAACTCGATATGATATCCTAACTGTGACAATTCTAACTGTGACAATTCTAACTGCAGTTTTACTAACCACAAGTTGGTAGCGTAGACAGTATCCCGTTAGTGCACGTTACTGTTGAAATCCCGGAGTCAGATATTACGAACCCGGCATTACAAGTAACCTCGTAAGTAGTTCCTGAATTTATTGTCTCCGAATCTGGTTCAACTTTACCGTCACTTATAGCTGGCTTATCGCAGGGCACTGAAATATTCATAAATTCATTTTTAACTCATTAAGTTTCTGTATTTGTTTCACTTTTTCTCATAGATCTTGCAACAACAACAAACAATGTGAGAATATATTGCCAAACTAAGTTCACATAATATGACAGTATTCAACCAATTAGTTCGGAGTGCAGTAGTACTAGTAGTAAAAATCCGTAAATCTTAAAGAATTCACGTGTCAAAAACATATTGACGCCAAAATCTGAAGTGTTTATCATGGCGTTGAAAAATAATGGTTTTACCAGGTTGACAAGTTGGTACTGTAGACAGTACCCCGTTAATGCACGTTACTGTTGAAATCCCGGAGTCAGATATTACGAACCCGGCATTACAAGTAACCTCGTAAGTAGCTCCTGAATTTATTGTTTCCGAATCTGGTTCAACTTTACCGTCACTTATGGCTGGCTTATCGCAGGGCACTGAAATATTCATAAATTCATTTTTAACTCATTAATTTTCTGTGTTTGTTTCACTTTTTCTCATAGATCTTGCAACAACAACAAAAAATGTGAGAATATATTGCCAAACTAAGTTCACATAATATTATGACAGTATTCAACCAATTAGTTCGGAGCAGTAGTACTAGTAGTAAAAATCCGTAAATCTTAAAGAATTCACGTGTAAAAACATATGAACGCCAAAATCTGAAGTTTTTAATCATGACGTTGAAAAATAACGGTTTTACCAGGTTGACAAGTTGGTACTGTAGAAAGTACCCCGTTAGTGCACGTTACTGTTGAAATCCCGGAGTCAGATATTACGAACCCGGCATTACAAGTAACCTCGTAAGTAGTTCCTGAATTTATTGTTTCCGAATCTGGTTCAACTTTACCGTCATTAATATCTGGCTTATTACAGGGCGCTGAAATATTATGAAATATTCATAAATTTTAAAATTAACTCGATCAAATATAAATTAACTTTTGAGAGATAAGAACCATAAATCGTATAAGATTAAGTATACTTTACATACTAAACCAAACTGCTTAGTAGCTTGGCAAGAGAATATATAACATCACCAAGTCAGTAACTAGTAAGTTATCTTACTGGGGCAGGGTTCAGTATTGCACTCTCTCAATTCTTCATCATCACCAGAACACTCAGTCCCACACTGGTTAGGAGCAGTGCACGATTTGGTCCTTGTTTGGGTACCTCCATCGCAGTTTTCTGAGCACTCTGACCAATCTTCAAATTCACTCCATACACCGTCAACTGGTTTACAGCTTTTACACGCGTCTAAGAGAATTGGGGTTCAAGGTGGCATTGTGAAACCTGTAGTCCGCCGAAGAGGATCCCATTCAAAGAAATTCTCTTTCTTTCTTCAATGGGACACATAAAATAAAAGGTATGACCAGTGACAGAAATATTGATTGTAAAACTAAGATATGTGTGCTCAAACTAGCAGTGGGCAACACAAATCGCGAACCCGCGTCCGTACCTGTTCCTGTGCAAATGACGATGACTGCGATGATGGCTGCGACAATTACAACCAACAGTATCCAAAAAAACCAGCCTGAAATGCACAACATCATGAGTCATGAATCATAACTTTACAGAAGTAAATAATTTTACATATTAAAATGAAATCAACAACAAAAAACAGTGCACCAATTATGATAATAAAATAGTCGTTGAAAAGCTAAGTGACAAACGACCACCCTGAGCCCTCGTGTTTACACATTGCTGGTGGTAGCCATGATTCTGTCTACGTGCTATAGTTAGAAGCACATCTGAAAATTGGAGGAAGCGGGATTCAGCAGAATCACCCTTCTAGTCCACTATGTGATAGTATATATCAATATCCTGAACTTACATGTGATGGAAATACCCAGAAAACGACCTACTGACCTACTCCGATACAAGATTTTCTGTGATGCAAGGGTGCACCATCCTCTTCATTTTCTGGAGACCATGCTAATCTTACTTGAAAAGGGACACTGTTAAGTTCAGCCTTTTCGGCATCTTTAGACTCAATTTGCTGAGCTTCAGTTTTCTGACCACCACCAGCGCCAGAATGCTTGGACATGAGCAAATTTATTTCACGAGACCAAACTTAATGGAGCAGTAAACGAACCGAAACAATATAATGATTAACAGAAGATCAAACTATGCCAGCAAAGAAGCATTTCTCGTGTCAGTATAATACACACTACTACTAATAATAATATGTAGAGTGTAAGTTTGATATGCATTGTGGTAAGCACTCTGGAGCTAAATCATCATTCATCATGTTAAGTTTCAATAAAGGGAAAGCAGAAGTATCAAGCTGAATCATGTTGTGCCCCCCCGTGTATTACAAGAAAAAAGTCTAAATTTTATTTTGGTTTTGGTCTGTTAACATAATTTACCAAACGCGACGTTGATTTATCGTTTTAACTGAACGTAAAATCCAACGAATAAAAGTTGGATTGGAGCCAGCATGTTAATTCAAATGTTAATAAACGCCAGGTAAGCATTTAGAAACGAAATCAATCAACTACGAAGGTGACGAAACATTCATGCTTACATATTATTTGCTCAAATATAAGCGATAAAAGATTTCGGAAAATATCTGTAATTGTATAATTGTTAATACTAACCACATTTGCCAACCGGAGGAAATTTTGTAAACGATGGACAAAATCCAGATTCAGTTCGTTTCGCTGGAACGACGATGGGCGCTTCTTCCAATCGAACTTCTCCTAATTCCATCCCCTGTTAATGAGCGATAGAGTACATTCGTTAACTTTGCAAATTTGTTACCGTACGGACTACGTAATAGATATTAGATTGGGTGCCTCCCAAAATATATACGATTATATAAGTAAAAACTTTTAATTCAGATGTTAATAAACTCCAGCTCAGCATTTATAAACGAAATCAATTAACTACGAAGGTGACGGAACATTCATGCTTACATATAATTATAAATGATAAGATTTTATGTGCGTAACCAATAACCAGTAACTTAATACTTTAATAGACTACGAGTGGCAGAGTTAATGGTGGCTGGTGCTAACTTAATACTTCAATAGACTACGAGTGGCAGTGTTAATGGTGGCTGGTGCTAACTTAATACTTTAATAGACTACGAGTGGCAGTGTTAATGGTGGCTGGTGCTAACTTAATACTTCAATAGACTACGAGTGGCAGTGTTAATGGTGGCTGGTGCTAACTTAATACTTTAATAGACTACGAGTGGCAGAGTTAATGGTGGCTGGTGCTAACTTAATACTTTAATAGACTACGAGTGGCAGTGTTAATGGTGGCTGGTGCTTACTTAATACTTTAATAGACTACGAGTGGCAGTGTTAATGGTGGCTGGTGCTAACTTAATACTTTAATAGACTACGAGTGACAGTGTTAATGGTGGCTGGTGCTAACTTAATACTTTAATAGACTACGAGTGGCAGTGTTAATGGTGCCTGGTGCTAACTTAACACTTTAATAGACTACGAGTGGCAGTTTTAATGGTGGCTGGTGCTAACTTAATACTTTAATAGACTACGAGTGGCAGTGTTAATGGTGGCTGGTGCTAACTTAATACTTTAATAGACTACGAGTACGAGTGGCAGTGCCTTTTAGTAACCTGGTCCCGAGTTTCAAGCTATAATAGGTTATCATCCGGTAAATAAGCAATATAAGGGAATAGCAAATATGTGAACATGACACAATCAACGCACACGCCCGCACACGAAGCTCAACTGATCAACAATACTAGCGCCCGGTCGGCCCATGTTTGACTCTTAATAAGTTGTAGCATTTTATACCTACACCCGCTAAATATTATACCTACACCGTGTAAATAAGTTCTTGAACACAATGATCAATGACCATTATAGGTAGTCATAGCTGCCAACTCACGAGTTGTAAATGGGCCCACACTAAACACTATAATTGTAGTATGTAATTGTTATGTGCTTTTAGTGTGTTATGAATTGACCGAAGTAAAACTTTATAATTGGAAAACATGATCGTGTCAAAATAATCAGGAAGCTGGAGGTATTGAAAAATTGAAAGAAAAATGCAATTCGCAACCTGATTACAACGGTTCATAACCATACCGCGAAACCCTAGATATATCAAAGACAACTCTGAAAAAGACATGATCATTGCTAGCTAGATTGCCAAAAACGAAATCCAGATTATGATGTCACGATAATAATGGAAAAAATATCAAGAGAAACGAAAACAAAATAAAAATGTACATGCATTCCATAAGTGTACCAAATTGGACCTGCCTCAACACAAATACACAATTGTTCAAAAATTCTTTAAAGGAACATAATATGGCCGCATTGTACACAAACACTAACACTCAGAAATATTAATTATGTCATTTCTACATGGTTACTCATCATGGAAGTATTATGCAGTGCTAGCTGCGCCTAATGATGGGGCTACATTGCAACATAATATCATTGAAAATGTCCACCAGCGGTATAGTCACTACATACAGCTATTATTGACCAGTAGACGTGGCAGTGCCAACACTTAGCCTGCAGTTCAGCAGCATGTTGGCAGCCAACATCATGCTGAACTGCAGGCTAAGTATTGGCCTCAACTTTGTGAGAAATCTGAACAATAATCATAAAACCAACAATCCAATAGAGTAAACTGTAAAGCCAACACATTTGTTTAAAAAAGAAGACTACACAAACAAATGGTTCGGTAGAAAGAGAAGACTACACAGAGAAAAAGAGAAGACAAATGAATGAAAAAGAAATGAACAGGCGATGATATCATAATAGCAGGACGGTAACAACATCCTAGCTCGATAAAATTGAATACCTAAGTCAGCAAATGCAAAAGTCTGAATTGGTGTTTACGTTTACATTGGTATTTACGTTGGTAATCGAAAAGAAGCGTCATGTATTATGGTTGACATGTGCAGTAATGATTGATATATAATTATATTATATTCCCATTGGAAATTCCTAATTATACTCCTCTCAAAGCGGGAAACAAATTAAATTAACATCTTCATCTCAAGAATTACTGAAATGTACACCAAGAATATATAATGTTCTTGCACAAATTAATGAACGAAACAGAAATAACGGACGATGGAATTATGGAATCGAATATTAGAAGGATTGCAACTGGGCCCATGATATTGATAACTTAATTACTCGACGAAAGCGAAAGTAAAACGAGATTCTAAATCACTCTCTATACACTGGAACTTCGAGATTTTTCTATGAGACCTCGGCAGTTAAAACCAACTTGGATAGTATAACGCCGATTCCGAATCACCTCACAATCCACATGACATAGGGTTGGAAATTGAAATGCTCCCCTGGCGAGTTATCGGTTAAAAACTATTTCGATCACGTGCCATGACTGATGACACGTGACATGACTGACACGTGACATGACTGACACGTGACACGTGACATGACTGATGACATGTAAGAAAGTTGGTTTAATTCCTCGTTAGGCCGTTATAGCTTTAGCATATGCTTGAGTTAGGGATCGGGTTAGGGTTAGAGCTGGAGCCAGAGTAGAGGGGTAGGGTTTAATTGAATTTAGAACGTGCAAAACTCAGACACGCGATTGTCCAGTGTAGAGTGATTTATCCAAAGTAAAAGTGTTTACATTTAAAGCCACCTAGGTACATTACGGCAAGTAAAAGGGATACATGCGGGATACTAATTTAATTTACACACATTATTATACTTGTATGATACCATACCAACCACTGAAGAGTGTCCAAAAGCATTATGATAATAATATCATGTTCATCCTTCACATTTGTTAATCGTTTTAATATATATAACCAATGTCTTTAAAAGACGAGTTATTAGAAAATTCCGCGGTTAAATAATGTACAACCACGCCTTTCAATTTAAAATCACGTGGCTCGCAGTGGAATTTCACATTCCAGTAAACACTATAACTACTCTAAATAGATACTCTTGTGTTATTATTAAGGTGAAACGATCCACTCTTAGCAACACAGAGTAATATGATGCGCGATTGTATCACAAATCACGATAACATGTGATCCGAATTTGCAAAAAGCTAAGTATCACATGAACATGCCATGCTCTTAACAAGGTCTGACATCCATTAACATGATGGTGGTTCAGTATAAATCCTGAACGGTGTTATTTATCATCATCATTATTTGTATAACTCTTTCTCTGAAGACAACCAACTACTATCCTAATGGAATTCCTTGCTACCTCCTCCCACCCACTTAATTTGGCTTTTCTCTGCGTGGAAACTTCAACTCCCGCTGAACAGCATTCCGTCCCTTCTTTCTCGTGTCCAGAGAACAACCCCTTCCTGGAACCACATAACGATTCTTTCCGAGAGGGATTCTTCGTCCCCTCCTTAGAAACTTCTACTCCAGCTGAACAGCATACCGTCCCTTCTTCCTCGTGTCCAAAGAACCATCCCTTCCTGGAACCACATAACGATTCTTTCCGTTTGGGATTCTTCGCCCCCTCCTTAGAAACTTCAACTCCCGCTGAACAGCATTCCGTCCCTTCTTCCTCGTGCCCAGAGAACAACCCCTTCCTGGAACCACATAACGATTCTTTCCGAGAGGGATTCTTCGCCCCCTACTTAGAAACTTCTACTCCAGCTGAACAGCATACCGTCCCTTCTTCCTCGTGCCCAGAGAACAACCCCTTCCTGGAACCACATAACGATTCTTTCCCTTTGGGATTCTTCGCCCCCTCCTTGGAACCTGAACCGCCCTCGTGGATGATATGCAAACATTTCTCACCTTCCTTTGCAGCTCGCTCAACTGAACCTACTCCCAGCAGCACCTCTCTATCAGAGAACCCTTTTTCAAGAGATGGTGATGGTGACAATATCTTCAAGATGAAGAAGCAGGGACAATTTTAAAACAAATTGTGCGCATCTTATGTTTATGAGCACGAACTAAGTTTGACAGGTTTGATACAGTTTTGGATTATCTTTTTTGTTTTTG